TAATACCTTTGGGAAAGGTGTGAATCCTCTTTTTCTCCCTCCAGCTATGGGTAAATAGCAGGACAGACTGGGTTCTATAGCCTTGGATGGCAACTGGTCAAGGAGAAGGACAACTCTGAATTCAAAACCTGCAGAGGGTCGTTTGGGGACCTTGTGGCACTTAGTGCACCAGGTCTCTGTATTCAGCCCTTCAAAAAAGTGTGGCTGGTCCTGTACGAAACCTTCACCACTATTATCAAATCTCATGTGCTGTTGTCGGGCTGTCAGTTTCCTGGGAACTGATCTGCTTGATCCTCATACGTTGAATATAGACGGGAGAGTCGACTATATATATATTGTTTATAGATACAAATATTTAAGTAAATGCTCTGTTTATAATAAAACAATATTAACAATATTTACTAAAGCATTTACTTAAATATTTGTATCTATAAAAATAAAGTATAAACAATAATTGTCGGACTTAGTCCATTTCATAATATATATATATGTATGTATATGTACACTTGTATCAATCTAACACCATATTTTTGTGAGTATACTAGCACGGAAATAACTTTTTTTTTACCGCCACACTGAATTTTTTTTTTAAACAGGAAGAAATTAAACTCGTATATCTGTACTGTTTTGGTTTTTTCTTTCTTTTCTGGCAGGACTTTAGATATGTCTACAAACGATGTTTTTAATATCTTCCTCTGAACGTGAATAATTTCTTCACAGATTAAGAGGCAACCTGAAGCAACATAAATACGGATAATATGGATACCATAGGCAGAGCATGTGAACAACGAAGAGGTTTAAGGAAAATAGAAACGAAATAGTTACTTTTGCTTCGAACAAAGAAGAGATGGATGGCATAGAGAAAAGCAGCGATCAACCTACCCAGTGAGCTTGTATAAATGGATGACAGAACTTAAACATTGCTTAAAGCAACAGGAGGGAGGGAAGTTGTGGAGAGCCATGATCACTCACGCACAGAAGGGACACGACAGATAAAAGAAACGAGTTGTCAGACCTGCACTGAATATACTTGCAAGTTCCTAGTTGAGGAGAAAAATAGCAGCTTCTAATTCTCTCTTCATATTTCACATGCAGCTGCTAGGTCAGGTTTATAAAGGTCAGCAATGAAGAAATAAGACCTTTTTGTGACGTGTCCACTTGAATGTCTGAAACCGGGAAGTAAGACCCTTATTCAGACTCCCTTTAGACAGTTGATGAATACTTGTATTTTCCTGTTCGGAATTATAATCACTAAACCTGATTTGACGTTGACCACTAATGAAAAGCCACATACCTCTACCGATGACAAAGAAACATTAAACTAAATGACTTAATGCTGAAAGGTCCTTGTTACATCTTATGTATCGGATGTGTGAGGTTTCTAATCAAACACTCATCTTCGTAACGTAAGCCGTAAGTCAAGGCCAAAAGGAGTTGCTTTCAATTGGTCAATCAAATCTCTGTAAAATATTCTATATCAATACTCACCTCACGCTTTTGTGAGGAATAAAATCAATCTTGTTATTTGAAAATTCGCATAGCCAAGGCCTGGGGTGCCTTGAATAAAATGGATGTAATGTGGAAGTCTGATCTACCAGACAACCTCAAACGGAGATTCTTTTGAGACCCTGTAGAGGCGGTGTTAATGTATGGTGCCACTGCCTGGACAATAATTAAAACCCTAGAGCCTAAGCTTGATGGAACCTACAGTCGGATGCTGAGAGCATCCTTAACATCTCTTAGAGACAAAATTCAACTAAATCACAGCTCTATGGACCTATGCCCAATATTTCTACAATCTTATGAGAATGCAGAATGTACTTTGCAGGACACTGCTGGTGAGCAAAACAAGAACTCACAAGTGATTTATTGTTCTGGAAACCTAGCCATGGAACAAGAAGGGTTGATTGCCCAGAAACCACCTATATTGACTAGCTATGTTATGATGCAGAATGGAACTCTCATGACCTTCTGACCTTGATGCAAGACCAGGATGGTTGGTAGACCATGATGGTTGGTATCATAGATGAATGTCTGAGCTTGCTTAACCAAATAAATAATAATTTGTTGATAACTCTATAATTATTAAGAAAGATGAATGTATTAAAAAGAAAGAATATATCACTTACACGATTTGAACAGTTTTTATTTTTATAAGGAATATAAATTGGTAATGCTGTCTGCAGTCATAGCTATAGCCTCTGTAGAAGCGGTGTTAATGTATGGTGTCACTTCCTGGACATTAACAAAAACTCCAGACTCTAAGCTTCATGAAACCTACACGTGGATGTTGAGAGCTATACTTGACATCTCAAATTAACAATCACAGATCTCTGTAACTATCCCTGATATTTCTACAATATTACGCGAACGCAGAATGCGTTTTGCAGGACACTGTTGGTGAGCAAAACAAGAGCTGGCGAATGATCTGCTGGTTTGGTTAACCAGCAGAGTATTAAGAGACACAAAACTTTCGTTAAAAACAAAATAAAGGGCACTGAACAATTACGTGATAACTGTTCTCTATGGCAGTGAATGCTGTCAAATCTCCTCAAGGATGAAGCAACAGAAATGTGGTTCTACAGAAAGATGCTGAGGATACCAGGGACTGAACATGTGAGCAACAACGAGGTTTTTGAGAGAATGGAAACAAAAAGGAAACTTATACTTAAGATCAGGAAGAGGCAGTTGAGGATTCTGGGGCATGTTATTAGGAAGGAGAAAATCTGATAATTCAATGGACAGTTTGACAGGGGAAAGCAACGTGGGACATACTTAATTGGCTTGAGCAAATGGATGGCAGAATAGGATTTGGGAGAAGTAACAAAAAGACAAAACATTAACAGCTACAAGGGACAGGAAGATGTGGATGACCATGATCGCCTACGCCCTGAAGGGACACAGCACATAAAAAGAAGAAGAAGAATCCATGGAGCAACCACATATATTGACTAGCTTTATGACACCGAATGCCACCCGAATGACCTTTCGATCTCGATGCAGGACAGTGATAGTTGTCGTGACAAACTTATGAATGTCCGAGCTAGATCGACCGAATAAATAAAAAGATAAAAAAATATTCATTTTTTCAGAAGATCCGATGATAAAAAATAAATCTTTAAAAACTTAACACCCTCTCACTTTTAACATCTGATGTAACCCCTCGATCTTTTGTTTCCTGCGAAGTTATTAGGTTGGCCAGGCTCATTTAGAAAACGGAAAGAAAACAAATCTTGATCTCTGTCTGGTTGGATTTCCAAGGATACTGCATTTCGAGCTTGTTTCACACGGTCACACCATCAACGCTAAATTGTATTGCCAGCAGCTACATCGAGTGTACGACAAACTAAAGGAGTATCCTGCTTTGGTCAGCCGAGGTCGGGCTTTGTTTCGGCAAGACAATGCGAGGCCACACACTGCCAGGTTGACTAAGAAGTTGTTCAATTAGATGGATGGTGTTCAGATTCTTCCACAGACTCCATTCAACCCCGATGCTGCTCCGCGGGACTATGGCCTATACCGCTCAATGGCACACTTCCTCCGCGACCAGCGATTCAACACTTCTGATGAAGTAAAGGAAGCTTGTTTACAGTTTTTTGATTCAAAGCCAGTGGATTGGTATCGGGTACAGATTCGGATCCTGGCCGATCGCTGGCAGAAGATCGTGGAGAATGATGGACTTTATTTTGAAGAATAAATGTTGGTGTTGCTTTATAAAATATTGTTGTTTTCTTTCCACTTCCAATATGAGTCTGGACTTTCTGGTCAACCTAATAATGCCGATTTTACAAGTACAACATTTTCACTGAAAAATCCAACTGAAAAAATTTTTTATTCTGATTTTAAATACCTCTCCACTCGCTTTTAGTTTATTTTCACTTGCGCTTATTTTTTGTAATGAGACCTGTAGATTTTCCTTATTCATATAAGACTTACATGGAAAGATCTAGAAGCCTAGGTTTTTTGGTCGGGGAGGGGGAAATAAACTTTGAGTTATTTTGAAAATGAATGTCAGTAATGATTTTAGACAAATGATACAAACCAACTCAATACCATTGTCATAGATTGGGATAAAATGATCTGTTTAGCTCTCAGCTTCAGTAAAAGTTGAGTGAAATAACTTCCTCCCTTTTTCACAGATCTATTGTAGACATTTTTTGTTTTGATTTTAAAATACGCATGAAGTTTTCTTTTTTGAAAATTGATTGATCCGTTTCCTACAGCTTATCAACCCTTAACAGGTTATTTGTTGGTTTATTTTTATTTAGCGTCATATCAACTATAACTACAGTGTAACCTGGATATAAGTGAGATTTTCTCTGGTCCCAAATTAGAGCCTATGATAATGTATATAAAATAGACCAAACCAGGATATAAGAGAATTCTTCTCCGGTCCCGACAAATCTCTTATATCCGGGTTACACTGTATATAACTATGGATTATGTAATGTCGAAATGTAAATATTTTGAAAACAATTTTATGGCTTCAACTAAATATATTTTGAACGCAATTGTATGCCTTCAACCACATATAAAATGTATTGTTGGTCATTTTTACTATAAATATATATTGCTGGTAATTTTACTATAAAAATGTATTTTTATACTTTCATAGTGTTTTGCTTTTGTTTGAGAGCTTACTATTTTGACATTAGCTGAGATCAACAGCGATTTAGGAGTGGTTTTACGCTCCTCTAAACCACTAATCTCCTGATCAGAGGCTTTGCTGCCGGATGTAGTTTATCATCATACCCAGAACTAATTTACAGGTTATTCAGAATCAGGGAAAAAAAGTGTTAGACTATAATTCTTTTTAGATAATAATGATATAGTGATAGAAGTCTTAATAATTAACCCCATAATTGGGGGAGAAGAGGTGGTTTCATACCTTTTATCGAGGGTATTTGCGCGTAAGTTAATATAATGAACCCAAGTGTAATGGAAACTCGGCTATTCAATTAACAATTCCAAACCATCATCCATTACACCAACCGCACATCCAAACTATTCCCAAGCAGTCACCCATCTGTGTAATGACCAGGCTCGACGTTTCTTAACTTCGGTGATCATACGGAAACCGGTATTTAAAATTGGTATGGCTGTAAGACTTATTTTGAAAATTGATAGCAGATATGACTTTAGATAAATGATAAAGCTAGTCTTCTGTTTAGTTTTCAGTCTAGCCAAAACGGAAGGTACTAAATCCCGCCTCTATCCTCAGTACAGCCCCCGTAGATGCTTCGTACGATAAACTTGTGTTAACAGCGGAAATTCTACAATGATCCCAGATTAAGTGTTATGTCAATGAAAGATTTACTTACTTTTGATATATGTGACTATTTCTGAATTACGGTGTAAAGTGTTTTGTTGTTATGAGGCAATAATTGAACAAGAATGGAGAAACCAAAAACATAGTTCCGTCCTGGATATAACGATAAACTACATCTCGTGGGAAGGCCTTTGATCGGAAGGTTTTGAGGAACGTGGAACCACTTCGACCCTGAACCGGGATGGTAGCACTTGTTAGGGTTCCAGCTATGGAAAAAAAATGAACCCCAAACTGGGGTCAAAATACTATGAAAGTATAGAAATATGAGCAATAGATTTTTGAAAAAATATATGTTATATCTCGTACAAGATATAATAAACAAAGTAAACCCGAGTGTGGTTTTCAATAATAATTTTATAATCGGATGTAGGTATGTCAAAATACAGAGAGAATCAGGAGTAAGCTAACCGCAATGGTGTTAGTAAACAAAGACCTTCTTTTTGTCGCTCTGCTTACTGTTTCCTGTGGTCGTACTTTATCGGCCACCAGACCGTCCATTATCGTGAATAGGGAAGTTGGGTTATCTCATCACAACAATATATATTGCCAGCAATACATTTGACTCTCGGCAAAAACCCTCTTTATAAAAATACGTCAATGGAACTCGATCTAGAAACTGATTTCTTTCAAAGAATACATGCTTTATTCATACGAACCTATCCTAAAAATCTAGTCGGCAAGGTTGAGGCTTGTATCCAGAATCAAAACAAAACAAAATAAACCAAAACAGCCAAAACAAAATAAACCAAACCAGCCAAAAGCATAGTTGTAAGGGAGGAGTCGAGGCTGAATATGCATAGGCTATTCAAGCTTAAATATTTGAAGGAATTGGATGTTCATTCAAAATATATAAATCCTTTATTCAAAGTAAATGTAATTCAAGGCGTAATTACATACATTATATATTGTGTGTGTAAAAAAAAAAAATATGAGTGAACATATGAATATTAGTATTTGCCATTAATAAGTTTTTCATACGTAAATCTTTGAAAGTATATTCCTGTTATTATTGTTGTCTTTCATGGTGTCTCACCTTTCACTTCTGTATTTCATAAATATCTTGGAATTGTCCGCCATTTTCATAACAAAGACACTACCATCTAATGTTGCCATTGCAAGGGAGATAACTGCGAGAAATAAATTACGGACATTGCAGCCTCAGTATATATATATATATATATATATATATATATATATATATATATATATATATATATATCGTTATGTACAAATTGATTTCTCGTAATATATTTTGCATTTTTTTTTTTAATTATTTATTTTTTAAAATTCATTTTTTTAAAAATTACGTTAGGTTCTGGCATTATTTCCTACCTGCCATTTTATTTAATATTAAGTGTTCTTTTTCCCATTTCTTCTTTTCCTTCCATTTTAACTAATATTTATTCCATTATTTCTTTCTCTGACCTTCTAAATTCCTTCTTTTCTTTCGGTTCTCTTGCTATCTTGCTACCGCTCATTTCTTTTTAGCCCGCTTTCCTTCGTTTAAGCATTTGACGTTCACTTACCTTGACAGTCCCATCCAAGGCCGGTGAGCTGGAAATGAAAGATAGTGTTAATAAAACACTCCAAATTGGGTTACTTTAATCAAGTCTTTGTGACATAGAAAGATGGATTGAATCTTACCCGATTACTGGTGTTGCCTTGCCTGCATTTAATTGAATTAATCTGATTATCTGCAAATGCCTTTGGCTCACAGACGAAATGCAACACCTCTAGGGTCTAGATCTCCCTCATCTTTTTCTTCTATTTTTCCTTTGGATTCTGACATACATTGCCAATGCAAAGAAAAAAGAAATGAACGATATATGAACAGGTTCAAATATACAAACAAACACCCACTTACATGCAAGGTCAATTCTCTGCATGTCTGTCTAGTTAACGTGTCAGTTATTTTTTTTTATGATTTTAACCAGAAGTCTGTCTATCCGTATACATGGCTGTCTATCAATCTATTCTTCACTCTTTGTTTTTGTATTGACTAAAGATCTAAAAACAAATTAGGAAATGTTGTGTCTGTACAGATTGACTTCAACTCCCTTTTTAGCGTTCGATACATTTTTTTAAAATGATCTAGTCAACTTGTTGGGTTACAGGTTTATGTATTTTCCACTGCCGCCAATCGTCGGTGTTCGAACGAGGGCGAATGCTAGAGTTCTGATAGGAGCTCGTTTTCCAAATGCGGACACAAAAATTAATTTCTATTTGCCGAATCCGTTCAGCAAATAGGGAATCTCCACAACTTCCTATCCCGTGTGTCTCTTAGATGTTTTTCTATCTGCGCTAAGTCCCCACTCCCGTTCCGCCACCCATTCACAGAAGCTCGTCAGATAAGTGGCTCACTGCCTTCCTCTTTCTTTCTTGTCCTCAATATGCCCCGTGAGGATTAAGTTTTCCAAACCCTCTGAAACATCGGCGTCACCAATTTATTATAGTAATCCCACTGTGCTTTAGACTTAACACAAATGAGAATGAATTTTTTTATCAACATTTAATAGTTATTTATTTACATTTAAAACTTACGTACCAGGATCAATATAAACACAATGTCTTTTTCTATATATAGAGAATATACCAAGCGGACTTACCCATCTGATGAAGCGAAATTTTGGCCAGATAACTTATATCTGTAAACCCTGGTAGCTGGTACCCTTGGCGGTGGAGAGAATTCTTTGCGTGTCGATTCAGAGCAAGTCCAAATCTCCTTTTTTATTTCTTGCCCGTGATCAGCTTTTTCCAAACACCCACGTGATTTAAAATAACCAATGAGAAATCGCCTCATATTATGTGACCTATCTTTCTATATAGGAGCAGACGTATTTTACAGATTCAATACTTCCTTCCTCATTATGTGTCCAAGGAATTTCAACTGTTTTTTTCCTGATTTTAAGGAGAAGTGTTCTTTCTGTTGCCATTTTATTTAAGACTTCATTGTTGCCATTTTATTTAAGACTTCATTGTTGCTTACTTGCTCCGTCCATAGAAATGTCATTATCCTTCTATAGAACCACATTTCTGCTGCCTCTAGTTTTTTCCTTATCCTTGGAGAGATTTCATTGCCATATAAGAGGATGGATAATATATATCAATTCAGTTTCTTTGTTTCTAAGGATTTTTTTCCGTTTCTCAGCACCATGCTTAGCTTTTGGAATACCACTTTCCCTAGTCCAATGCGTGTTCGGATCTTTCCAGAGAATTCAAGCAGAAGGCAACAGGAAACCACTCCGATATATTTCCCAAGAATTCTTAAGAAAAAAGAGATGAGGAAGAAAAGAAGGATGAAATAGAAGTAAAGAGAAAAAGAAGGAAGTAAAGAAGGGAAAAGAAAGAAAATAATTAATGAAGAAAGAAAAGAAAGGAGATGAGGGAATAAGGAAGAAAGCGAATCAGAAGAGAAAGAAATAAGTAAAGAAAGAAAGATAAAAGGAAGAAAAAGAATGAGGAGATAAAGAAAGGAGAAAATAAAGAAGGAAGAAGAAAAGAAGAATGAAACAGAAGTGAAGAAAAAAGAAAGAAAATGGAGAAGGAAAAAAGAATAACGTATGAAGAAAGAAAGAAATGAAAGAAAGAGCAATTTAATGAGAAGATAAAGAAGTAAAGAAAGATGAAGAAAGAATGAGAAGATAAAGAAGGAAAGCAGAAAGAAGAATCAAATAGAAAAGAAAAAGAACAAATGAAGAAGGGAAAAGAAAATAACGAATAAAGAAAGAAAGCTGAAGGAAGAAAAAGAATGAGAAGTGAAAGAAAAAAATGAAAAAAAGAAAAAAACAGTTTAAGAAAGAAAAAGGATAAGAAAAGGACGAAAAAGGAAAGAAAGAAAACGGATGAAAAAGGAAACGAAGAAAGAAAAGAAAAAGATAAAAGAAGAATCAGATGAAAAAGAGATATGAAATAAAAGAGAAAAGGGAGAACACAAGAAAGAATGAAAGGAATGAGAAAAAGAATGAGGAAAGAAGAGTTAAAGCTTGAAAAACATTCAAAGATAAGAAAAAAATCCAATAATACAAAATATGTACGCCATCTTTTTTTATCCTGATCTTATATTGTTTCTTTATTACGTTTGTGTGGATTATTGATTTTTAAGGACAACAAAATGGAAAAACCTTGTGTTTAAATAAAACTGACATTTTTAAGTTAACGTTGAACACACAGAGATAGAAACACACAGACTTTACATACATATGTACATGCCGACTAAACTTGCAACTGTCACTCTCCATCCTTACGTAAATGTATGTCTTCAGCCTTTCGATCAAAAAAGGCTTTTTGTTCTTAAAAAAATCGAAATCCTTTTTTTCAAAGTAAAAATGTTTTCTTTATTTATTCACTTTTGTGTAATCTTTCACAAAGTAACATGCACAATTGAATTCGTAAAGGTTTATGATTGGAATCTTCTGTCCAACACACAAATCAATTTCTGATATATAGGGTAATATTAGCCGTTTGCTTATAAGGAAACATTCGGCATTCATTGACCGAGCAGCCAGTGCTACTGTCCTTTGAATTTCATAGATTTATTTTTATTCAGATAGGAAAATAGGTTTCTCAAGTCCACTAAGTGTTATTGCTCTTTCCAACACGATGGGGACTTCTTTACTAATTCTTAACCTTTTGTTTGAAGGAATGTGTACGTCAACATTTTAATCATGTCAATATTTACTCTTCGTGTTAAACGTGCAATACTTTTTAGTTGTTGCTGCTGTTGAAAGTCCTAAAATGATATCATTTCTGTTATTTGGCACAGTTCTTTGTGATTCTGTAGCGCCAGTCAACGAGGTTCGAAGAAGTATGGTACTTGTTAAGACCTACAGTTTTCATTCACTGGAACTCTCCGTTAAACATTGAGAAAGTGGTTGTATACCGCTGACAGTTTAGAATGGTTTGGGCGTATATATATATATATATATATATATATATATATATTTGCTAGCACAAACCCACAAGAAACTGTTAACATAGAACTTACGGTTACACCTAGCCAGTTCACTTGTAAATTTATAAGATCACGACGCCAGTCTAGTACTGCGCTTAAATTTAAAAAGTCTAGATACCATAGCGAATATATATATATATATAGTGCCAGTTCCCCTTTAGGGGATAAACGGTCATGACTCTAGATAGATTGCTTTTCTTTGTTATCATTTGATGTGGCTTATTGCCGTCGAATTATTTTTTCTTCAATTAGACCGATTGCCATCAAAGGCTAAAGAACTTCGTCTACCCTGCTATTTAACACATAGCTGGGGTGAAGATTTGTGACTTGCTCAAGTTTAGTTTGAAAATGAAAGTAATAGACTAACTCGGAATTATTTGGCTAGCAGCCCTTCTTTTAAATATATTTCGTTAAATATGACGGGCAAGGAAAATTTTATTAATTTTTTATTCAGTTTTTCCAGTTTTCATACATTTTTCCGTTTGTTGAGAATTGTCCCAAGCGCTTTCGGCCATTTCTTTGGCCATTTTCGAGGTGGGGGTCATTTTGGTGTAGTTAGTTTATTTTCATGTTTTGACTGTGTGAATGTATTATTTATGAGTTATAGTAGCGGCGATTCCGAGCCATCATGTGTTGGGCATGGCTGGAATTCGAGTAGGCGGCTTTCTATTTTTAAAAGACTTTCACCATTCCGTTACCAAGGTAAGATTGATGGCGGGGTACAATTCTTTGATTTACAAGGCCTCTCTTATAACGAGACGAGGTGTTTTCCCGAAATTATATATATATATATATATATATATATATATATATATATATATATATATAAATTTGTTAGGATCAATAATTCTTTTGTGCCGACTAATTCTGTTTTTAATATCCTTTTTATTTTGTTTATAACTGGTTGCTTATATTAATTTTTTTTCTAAGTTTCTTTAAAGCGAATCTTATTTCTTTATCAACATCAAATTATTGTTAAATGTTTGTATTATGCTGCTTAATACTCTCTAAAACAATGTATCTGAAGAGCAAATTATTTTCGCGATAAATCCTGTTTATATATATATATATATATATATATATATGTGTGTGTGTGTGTGTGAACATTTGTTTTATAACTAAGAAATGTTGGCTGCTTACTTTGTATTTCAACGGCTTCCAGAATTTTAAGTTTTTCTTTGCATTCAGTCCTATATGATATTTTGGTGTTATCGACTAAAATGTGTCTCTTGTTAACACTATTGTCCTTATTTGTGCTATATTGATCTATATGCGTACGAATTTTACTACATTTTTGACAAATGGCACTAATAGAGAGTGTGGTGTCTGTGTGTGACCAATGTACGAATTTAATGTTGTTTATTGATTGTTAGTATTGGATATACAATCTCCTAAAGAACATAAGAATTCTATACATGACGAAAAGGCTTTTAAAAACATAATTCGTCGGTATATAACAGTTATTGATCCCAACAAAGACCTTAGATTTATCATTTATTATAAAAAAATCAAAACGTCAAATGTAATATATATATATATATATATATATATATATATATATATATATATATATATGCGTTTTAGAATTCGAACAAAAAGTGGAAAAATGAGACACGCGTATTTGTTTTTACATCCCGACTGGATGACGCCAATCTCGCAAACAGACATTAACAGCTTTCATACAAAAAAAAACAAAAAAAAACACAGTATTGACTTTCATTCTGGCCTGCAGAAGCCAACCTAACACACAAAGGCGAAACGCGTTGTCATTAAAAAGTTCTATCTATCTATCTATCTATCTATCTATCTATCTATCTGTGTGTGTGTGTGTGTGTGTGTGTGTGTGTGTGTGTGCGATATGGTAAGGCAAGAGATATATAGCAGAGAACGTAGATGAATTTTGATTTGAAATTTTCAATGTCTAATGTTCAATCCATATGGTTAATATTTGCCATTGACGCTGCCTTATCAAAGAAAATTGAAAAATGCTTGCTGTGAGAAAAATACTGATGTACCTATGCACATACACACACACACACACACACACACACACACACACACACACACACACACATACACACACGAGACTATACGAAAGCAATGCTATCTAATTATTTTAATGGAACAACAGATGCAAGTTGCACAGTAATATCGTGGCTGATATCAAGGTTTGAACTACGGAACACATTTATTCACAGAAGTGATACCGTTGTAAGGAAAATGTTGCCCGCGGAATTCATCTTTCCTTGACCTGAATGTATATTGTCATACATGATACTGTGGCCGCTGCTGAAACGTATTGCAGTCCAGCTGTCCTCACGTCAGTATTTTGGTCACCATAAACGTCCAGCAAGCGTTTGGTGGGTGGGGGATGGAGGAATTCAATGATATACTTCTTCTTCGTAAGCACTTTATGCCAAACGCTATTTTTTATGATTACAGCCCAGTTTCTGTATTTAAAGAAAAGAAAAAGAATTATTGGCGAGAAGACACAACCTCTATAGCCATACTACCAGAATTCTTTTTTGTTGTCGTGTGCCAACATAGAACGTATTCATTTTGGCTCAAACTACGTCTGTGTGCGTTATATATATATATATATATATATATATATATATATATATATATATATAAGACAAAAAGAAAAACTATTCTTAGCCGACGCAGGGACTTTACAAGGCAAATGTAGGACTTACTTTGTTGCACGTGTCTATATAAAAAAAAAAAACCAAGAATGTCATTGGTTTATCAAGGATTTTAAATTTGAGAATGGTCATGAATATTCATCAGGTGGTTGAAAGGTCAGTCAAAACATGTCGAGGACACAATGTGCCATAATTCAAAGTTTGGGAAGAAAAAAGTAAGCAAGTAATATTCAAGAAATATTTATTTAAAATAAATGAATATAGCACAATATTCGTTTACTGAAAAAATATTAAAATATTTTATATTAAGAATCTAAAATCTGAAATGAACGTGGGTTCACGTGCTATGACGATCGAAAAGAATTTAACCTGAGAAAATGACTTTACATGTTAAAATGTATATATAAGGTAAAGTTGTTTTTGCCACGTGACAATAGATATATAGGGTGTTTCATTAAGACGGATCAGTCAGCAGTAAATAAATCAGTGTTATTGGTGAAAACTTATTCATTTCTCTGTTGGATCATGCCTTTTAAGTCATGGCAATTATGTGTGAAAAATAATATCGCCCAAATGTCCGCCAAGGCTTCGACAGCACATCTCCACTCGACAGTTAAAATTTTTGATGACGTCTCAGCATAGTTGCTCCTCGATCTAACCAATATTCCTTAGCTCATTCTTCAGCTGTTGAATTGTTATTGGCATAGACCTTACTTTTGAGATGACCCCAAAGGAAGAAATTTAAAGGCGTCAAGTCGCACGGTCGTGGTTGCCAATTGACTTCGCTGTTTCGAGAGATGATGCGATCTGGGAACTTCTCATTGCATTTCTGTTTGAACGTCCATTTTCCTAATAGGCTTCGATAACTTTAACACGTTCTTTGATTGGTAAGCTTTCCATGGTTGAAATTGCCAAAGACTTAAATTGTTAAATCTGAAAGAAAAAGAAAAAAATCATTAAACGCTTAAACTTAATTTACATTTAAAATCGGTCCAAGTTATTGGAACACGCTTTATATATATATATATATATATTAAAATGCATGAATGCACTTGACACAGAAATAATGTTGCACAACTTTTTTTGACTTGAAAAAATACAAGCCGAAAGCAAAACAAACTAAAAAATAAAATGGCATTTATTTTTCAGTTAATATATTTACGTTTTTCTTTTCCTTACTTTTCTCTTTAAGTCTTTGAATTCTTCACTTTCCTTTTCTTTGATGTCAGTTTTTTTTTATTCTCATTAAAGTCATTCAGTTTTCCAATATTTACTTTATCTTCGAAAAATAACTTTCGTTTACAGTTATTAATGGATTTTTTAAGCTTTTTTTCTTCCATTTATATTCTGCTTCCCTTTTCACAATATTTTCTCAGCTTAGTTGTGTATGGAACAAAATAAATCGGGGGGAAAAACAGTGACATGAAGAAAGTGTTGCGCCAGTCTTCCAACTATGAAAATTCTTTTTTTTATTCCCGCAGCTTCTTTGGGGTGATGAAGAGGGCTGCAATCACACCAACTGCTGCTGTTTCAATAACAAGTGAATTCTTTAAGTGCCGGAGTAATCGTCCGACGTTCAGGGTGGATTACTAACGGGGCTAAAACGTTCCAACTGCTAAACTATTTATCCAGAAATAGTGAGGACAAGGGTAAGTTGATTCATACTTTTCCCAACAGACTCAATGAATAAATGCAGAATATTCTAATCAGAACTTAAAAAAGTTAGCCAAGTTTATTCTCAACTATCTAGATGTGATTCCAAAGTCTTTTTGTCTGCCTTGTGCTTCAAACTAAAAAAAAAACAACCTTCTCTCTCAACACATGACCATTGCTCCCACTCATGAACAGATATGCACAGTGCGTCATCGCCTATGAGACATTACTATGTAATTAAGATCAGGCAAGTGACAAGTAAATTTGTGGTACTTAATGGGGTATTCACTGTTACCCATCCTAATTCACCAAGACAAAGCATGTACATGTTTACACCTCCAATCGACTAACACCAGAAGCCATGAGAACCATGCCTGGTTGTTACCATGCATTTGGATGTTCATACCAAATGTCTCACGGGTGCTTCTAGAGTGACAGCAAATCGCCATAATTCTTCAGCACATTTTGCAGTTTCTTCATAGATTCCAGCTGTTTCATTTTTCAATCATTTCACCCCATGTAAGGCAGTAAAGCCACTAAGATACAATCGTCCTGGGTATAACGATAAACTACATCCAGTAGCAAGACTTATGATCGGAAGGTTTTGAGGATCATGGAACCACTTCCTAATTGGTGTTGTTCCCAGGTCCACCCTGACCCAAGGTGGTAGCACCTGTTAGGGTTTCAACTATGGACAAGTAGTGAACCCCCCAAACTAGGGTAAAGAAAACAGAAGGTATAGGTTTAAAAAAATAACTGCAACAGATTTTTGTAAAAAGAAAAAAAAATAATCCAGCTCCTACGAAAATTAAATTTCGTCATTAAATGACCCATAAGGTGTTGATATGCCGCTAAACAAAGACACAACGAGTTGCTGGGTGCGAAAGAACAAGAAACATTATTAAAGAGAACAATAGAAGAGTAATCAACAAGACGGTAGATAACAATTGATATTGCATTTAAATTTTTTGAAAATAAAACAGTTGGAAAACACGGAGCCGTTAGAGTTCCACAAGCGAGAAGTGCGAGAAAATAAACTGTTAGCATAGAACTTATGGTTACATCTATTCAGTTCAACTGTAAATTGATGCGACCTTGTCGCCAATGTAGTTATAGTTCATAAAGTCGAGGTACCCTAGCGGAGAGCTCATCAGAACAATTACCATGAACGTATTTATGAAAAGGCACCTGGAAGCTAGGTTACAGCGGTAGGAAATTGATTGAAGCCGAGAAGCCAGGTCAAGACCAATAATATTGTGTATTCTTTTTTGGATTTTATCAAGCATCTCTAGATATATAGCAAGAGCAGCGGACCGGAAGCGGCAGCAATATTCTAAGTATGGACAAATAGTAGACTTATAGATATGTTAGATAGATACTAGAGAGAAAAATGTTCTAGCACGACACAATGGACCAACTTTCTTAACAGAAGACCTAGGAACTCCAATTTTTTCAGTTCTCACCTCCATTTTTCTTACGGTTACGCAAAGTATTATCACTACAGACGTAGTCTTTATATTCACGATTTTTTTCGTTTTCTTTCGTTTTCTTTTGTTTGTTTTTTTTTGTTGTTCTGTTTTGTTTTTTTTTTTGTTTTTTTTTTTTTTTTTCATCCTGGCACCTTCACATTGACGATGTGAAAGTTTTTATTCATGCTTATGACTGCCAAATCCGGTCTTCTCGCCAGAAGAGTGGTCGGTCTCGATGTCAAAGTTCTAGAACACCTTATTTTCTAAGACAGCTTCTGGTTTGTTTACATGATCGAACTCAAGTCTTTTACACAATTCCCAGGATATGTCTATTACTACTCGGTCATACATGATCTTATCTCCTACTGATACAGAGATTTATAATGTACTTTTACTGTTTCTCTATAAAATGCTATATCTATTGTCTAATTTTTATTTTGATCCGAACTGAACCCCTTATCGTTGCTATCAAGAATAAATGCATTAAGACAATGCATTTTTTTCTTGATAGCAACGATATGGGGTTCGGTTTCTCTGTTCAGGTATCCTCTGCGTAACCATGCATGTTTTCGATTTTTTTCTGTCTTTTACATTTTTCGTTAAGAGTTTTCTTTGCATTTTATTTTTCTTGATACCTTCAACAATATTTGGGTTTTCTTTACTTTTATCTTGAGTTGGGCTGTTTTCAGGCGGTCTTCGTCATTTTTTGTCGCGTTTTTTATTTATTTCCGGATTTTCCTATGAACACTGTCCTCGTCACCCATGAATCCTATGTCTCTTTCCTACGTTTGTCATCTCTGGATTGTATAACTTTCTGTACCTCATTAATTTCCTGGTCCATCTTCTCATTGACTGGCACTGAAGCATGAGAAAGAACTGTATACCTCACTATTAACACTACGTATTCATCCGTTTTATTTCAACTGTATAGTTGTTAGTCGGGTAACCTTGTATAATTTAGTTCAAGTCTGGTAACCCTGCATAGTTTAGTGCAAGTCGCATAACCTTGTCACCTAAGACGGCCTCCAATTGTGGGTGACCCTAGCTGTTAATACCAAGACTCTTTAGCTGCATCTTCCTTTAAACTTCAAAAGTAACCTTCACGACACCCAGTCCTGATGCGTTCACACAATTTCCTCCCATGAGCAGATATACACAGTGCATTAACTCCGACTAGATATACCTAACTGAATAAGGTCAAACAACTAATAAGCAAATCTGTTGTACTGAACCAGATATTTACTACAGCCAAACTTAATTCATCAAAATAAACATGTACATGTTAACATCCCGGATCAATAAAACCAGAAGTCATCTGAGCCAAGCCTGGTATAGCATCAGTGAATTTATTATGTTGGTATCGCACATTGGCGTAGTCAATAGAAATTCTGATCTTGTAACATGGTGTCAAGACTTCTCACAACTCAAGAATTTTTCAGAGAATCCTCACAAAGTAAATTATGTAGTTTGCAGGAGGCCTATAATTTTGGTCTCAATTCCAATTCTCCTTAAGCGTTCTTTGAATTTTATTTATTTATTTATTTATTTATTTATTTATTATTATAATATAAAAATTCTTTTGAACCTGCATTTGTTTTATAATTATCTGTCAGGTCATAACCAATGATTTAGAGTAAATTTTGTTGTTTCCGCTTAATTAAACAAAAGACAGCTCTTAACAAAAAAAAAAGAAAAGAAAAAAAAACTTAAATGAACAAAGATCTTCGCCAGACATAGGCTGTGATTGTTAGAATTATTTATCTTTTATTTTTTGGAGTAGGATTTCCAGGGGAGATGATGCACCAGGGATTTTCTGGATTTGATTTTGGGTTTCTTTCTTTATCTTACCCAAAGCTCCAACCAGATTTAGCTTTTAAAGTGATTCATTTTTTTTTTTATTTTCATCACCAAGTCTTAGTGATTTCCTGGTTTCTCAAAAATCTTCGCAGAGATGTTTTCTTCCTTCCTTCTTTCCTTCCTTCCTTACTTACTACTAATACTGCTTCTGCTACAATAATAATGATAATAATAATAATGTGTGGTATCATTGTGCCAGACATTCATTGTAAGTGCCTAATTACCAAATCCCCGCCGGGGTATTTGAGTAAAAAGGGTGTTGTTGGAGAGTTATCTATGAACAGTTGGAACATTTCGTTGAAATTTTTGTGGATGATATGTTCACTTCCGCACAAAGTAATCTTGTAGAATTGAGATGCTAATGGGTCCAGTAATTTTACTCATATAGTTTCTGATACGCCTCTTTGTAGTATTTGAATAATAATAATAATAATAAAGACCATGAAATCAGAATTTGTATCTTATTGACATGGCAGTCCCTGCAGATTGTAATGTATCTTTGAAGATCTTCAAAAACTATCAAAATAAAAGGATATTGAAATGGAAATCTCAAATGTATGGTACATGAGAACATCAGTAATTCCAGTTATAGTTGGAGCTCTTGGATTGACTGGAAAAGGTTCCAATATATTCATTGAAGGTATTTCTGGTAACCCATGCCTTAAAGAAATACAATCTATGTAAAAAGTATGTGATCTTAGGTGTTTTGGGTTTTTTTTTTTTTTTTACGAAAATGATCAGTGGAAAATGTTATGTACCCACATTCTGAGCATAGGACTCTGGTTAGAACTTGGAAGGAAATACGCACACAACATAAAGGAAAAGGCAACTAGTAGTAGTAGTAGTAGTAGTAGTAATAATAGTTGTTGTAGTAGTAGTAGTTGATGATGATGTTGATTAAATAAATTTTTAAGTGGCTCGTAGGACAGGTAGTGAGAGGGATAGTAAAAATATAAACATTGCTGAGATCTACAAAGGAAAGGAAGCACAATCGCCCATGACCTGAATGGACTTGGCCCATAAAAGAAGCAGCTCAATGTAGCATTTCTGAATATCCTATCACTCCTTCTTTCTCAGTTCCGTTACTTTCTTCCATTGATATTCTATTCATGTTCTTATTAGTGATTTTTTCTTGAAACCTGTTATTCTTTCTTCTTCAACAGATTTTTCTCTTCGAATTAACGCTTTCCGGTGTTTTCAAACAGTTGCTCCTTTTTTTTTTAAATTCCTTTTTACTTCATTCTTTATTCATTAATGTTTGACTTTTTCACTGCTTTCCTTTTCAAAAATGTATTCCTTCTCTAAACCCATTTGTTTTCTTTCCATTTGTACTTTAGTCAAGGAAATGATTTTTTTTTACAAAGTGAATGATTTCTTTATCTTCTCTTCAGATTCCTCAATTTTTTTTATTAATTTTATATTTTCCTTAATCCAGTGTAGCTTTCATTTTTTTCGTTCGATTATCTTTCACTTTCAGTACTTTCTTTCCTTCAGTTTACCTACTTCCAATTCATTCTTTCTTTGCTTTTCCCCACTTGCAGTTCTTTCTTTGCTTTTCCCCACTTGCAGTTCTTTCTTTGCTTTTCCCCACTTGCAGTTCTTTCTTTGCTTTTCCCACTTGCAGTTCTTTCTTTTGCTTTTTTTCCCCACTTGCAGTTCTTTTTTTGCTTTTCCCCACTTGCAGTTCTTTCTTTTTGCTTTTCCCCACTTGCAGTTCTTTCTTTGCTTTCTTTGCTTTCTTTCTTTGCTTTCCCCTTGCAGTTCTTTCTTTGCTTTTCCCCACTTGCAGTTCTTTCTTTGCTTTCCCCCACTTGCAGTTCTTTCTTTTGCTTTTCCCACTTGCAGTTCTTTCTTTGCTTTTCCCCACTTGCAGTTCTTTCTTTGCTTTTCCCCTTTGCAGTTCTTTCTTTTTGCTTTTCCCCACTTGCAGTTCTTTCTTTTGCTTTTCCCCTTTGCTTTTTTCTTTCTTTTTCTTTGCTTTTCCCCATTTGCAGTTCTTTCTTTTGCTTTTCCCCACTTGCAGTTCTTTCTTTTTGCTTTTCCCCACTTGCAGTTCTTTCTTTTGCTTTTCCCCACTTGCAGTTCTTTCTTTGCTTTTCCCCACTTGCAGTTCTTTCTTTGCTTTTCCCCACTTGCAGTTCTTTCTTTGCTTTTCCCCACTTGCAGTTCTTTCTTTGCTTTTCCCCACTTGCAGTTCTTTCTTTGCTTTTCCCCACTTGCAGTTCTTTCTTTGCTTTTCCCCACTTGCAGTTCTTTCTTTGCTTTTCCCCACTTGCAGTTCTTTCTTTGCTTTTCCCCACTTGCAGTTCTTTCTTTGTTTCTCTTACAATACTTTTTTCGTTTTACTCTTCCAGTTCTTACTTTTATGCCTTTCTAGGTCTTTCATACGCTCTTCTTTTATCTTCATGCTTTCTAATGTTACGTTTATCTATTTTATTAGTAATACTACTGCTGTTCATTTCTCTTTGTTAAAAAACACTCTGTAGTCAACCCTTTCCGATTCTCCTTGAAGAAAGCAATACCATCGAACAACACTGCATGACAAATGCATCTACCCATGATGCAACATCTATCCAACAATTTGTCCATCCCATTTGTCTCGGCTTACTCACCCCCAACACCTGACCTCAACAACCTTTCTTAAAACCCCTTACCACACTATTCTCTCTTTGTGGCACTCACCTATCAAACCTCACATGCAGCCTGGAATTATCTATAAAGCAACGAAATATTGCGTCTATCTGATTACATCATCGATGTCAAATAAGCCACCTTCCTCTCTCGTGGTTATGGTCTTATTTCTTAGTGATTATCGTGCTAAAAAGGATTAAATAATTCTTTTTAAACATAGCCTTTTCCGCCTCACACACAATGACCTAGGATTCGGCTGAACAATATGTATAAATTCAAAGTGAGTTTTATAAAGGATTCAGCAAAGATAAATCTTCTCTTGAAATAAAAGATAAATTTGGAGGGTAGTTTGGAATAATGAACGGATATTTTTTTCTATATTTGTTTAAAGAAAATAAAGCGAGGAAAATCAATGGTTTAAAAGTAAAGTGATTTGAGGTTTCTAGGAAGGAGGGGTTTAAAAATCTGAAACTCACAGATTGAAGGTAAATAACGCACAATATACTGAATGAGTTTGAATGAAAAGATGGCGGAACAGGGTTTAGAAGAAATAACAAAGATAAAATGTATTAAGGTCTGCAAGGGATAGGAAGTTGTGGAGAGTCTACGTCCTGGGGGAAATGGCACATAAGAAGAAGATAAAATAAGGTAAGGAAAGATAGGTAGTAGAAAGGTTAAGAACGATGTAAGGATATTAAAAATTATGGTTCACCACTGATGTTAATCCGGACAGAATTTCAAGAAAGAGTTTGAATTTCAAGCGACTGCCAGAACAATTCAGTGATTTAATTAGGACATCATTTACATTTAACAGTTTAATATAAATTTCTAACAAAAGATGATGCTGTTGAGATGAGATATCCATAAGTCGTGGGTCAAAGGTGTATTGTTAAATTGTTATACGTAACTTCGGTTGGTCCAGTAAACGGATAGTAGGTTTTGTAGAACCAAATATGCCGGAAAAACTGTGATGGATCTGAGGTTTTAAATAAGAGAAAGTACATACACTCAAGAATATTGTTAAGTTATATAGCTTTTACAAGCATATGATTGTATTTTATGCTTAGGCAATATAAAATGTTACTAATCGGGTGTCTTTAATTCTCACTGGTAGATGGTGAAAAAGTAGACAAGTAAGAAAGAAGCCATGAAAGAAAAAATTAAAACGAAAAAAAAAAACTTATATGAAACAAAAATAGAATAAAAATGAGAACATGAAAAGCATGTCTGATAGCTAATACAGTTACTAATTTCCTTTTATGTTGATTTTTTTCAAGGCAGACAGTCTTCCTCTACATGGAAGTTTTTTTTCTTCCATACACACTGTGTTAAGTCATAGCAAATTATACTTAGAACATTTTAGTCTGCCTTGTTACTGGGATTAAGTGAATTGGTAAAGAATTAATTAGACATTGTCTAATACTCTAGATTTTTTCGTACTCCTCCACTTTTTGAAATAAACTCGTCCAGATGACGTGTGATGTAATGAGTAAAGAGGCAGTGTAGCTGTGACTGTGACTGTGTAGCTGTAACAGCGATGTGACTCATACAGGGTTTAACACCGTTTCACCTCGTAATGATTGTTGCCGCCAAAAAGATGGGCACTCCGTTTTTCGGGCACCAATACAAGGAGATATATATATATATATATATATATAATGAGAATTTTGGATATATGTGAATGTAAGTGGCACGTAAAAAAATTCAAATCCCAAGAGGTGACGTAAGTACGGTGGAAAACCACCAAGAGGGAAGATTATCAAATTCCATCCTAATTTATCGGTTATGCTACTCATGCCACCTGTCAACTCACTGTATTGGAAAACATACAATAGGGCCCTCATCCAACATTTCACCGACCGGCCACCGACGACCCCATGTGTATTTAGTCTCATTCTTGTCGGTGTGCACCAAAAACTGGCAAGGACCTGCTGCATATTCAGAAGGAAACGAAAGAGAAAACGAAAGCCACAGTGAGAAATAAGAATTTGCACCCTGTTTCCAAAATTATAAAAATAGGTGTTTTTATTCAGGGCTTCACTTGCTTGTTCTGGTAGTTGGCACTTGTGACAATTTCTGGCATGTCAGATTAACAGTTCAGATTTCCTTCCTATCAACTCAGCATAAGGCAACACGAGCGGCCAACATCAGAACTACGCAATATAGGATCAAAACTGATTTCTTAGATCCCAACTGTGACAGCAAACGGAAATTCTTTATGTCCAGCTTTGTTATCACTTGACACCAACAGCTTTCTTGTATTTATTTATTTATTCTTTCGTTTCTTTTCGGTTATGTAGATGCCACTTAGAAGATTCAACTTCAAAGATTATATCTATCCGCCGGCCATTAAACACGATAGAGATAAAATCCCATTTTCCACGTCTATGCGAGTGTTCCAAATATAATAACACTCTACAGCGTAAATTGTAATCTATGGGGTTTCACAGTCGTTGGCTGACAAGTGTACCATTATTGACACCACAATCATCGGTTATTGTCTCAGTTGTGACAAGAAAGACGGCCAATGTATCATGAAAAACTGGAGCCTGGTCTGATAGGCCAAGTTTCTATCATTTTGGTGTAGACGGTCGAGTTCGCGTTTGGAGGAAGCTGGAAAAGATTATGGATACAATCTGTCAGCTGGATATTCTGCATGACTACGGTAAAGGTGTGGACTGTTTTATCAGTGTTCGCAAAACACACTAGCGAATCTGGATTTTGTCTTCATGGATATGACAAATGCAAATCTCGTTATACAGAATTTGCAACGTTTCACATTCAGCATATTTCCCCCGTGGTGATTTTTTTTTTTTTTTTTTTTTTTTTTTTTTTTAAATAACGTACCCCTCATCAAGAGCAGGTAGCCTGAAACTGATTCCATGAAATTTCACCTCTGATCACCAAGACCTCGCTCACAAGATTTAACTCTCATTGAGTATGCATATAACTTCACCAAATCTTCTTCTACATGCAATGTCCTTTCGGGATGGTGGCGACAATGGCTCTCCACAATTTCCTTTCCTTTGTAGCTCTTAATAAATTTTATATTTTTGTTATCTCTCCTAAATCCTGTTCTACTATCCATTCACTCAAACTCGCTATGTAGGTTATGCGTTGTTTTCCTCTGTCCCTCTTGCCTTCAATTTTTCCCGTGAGTATCACATTTTCAAAGCCTTCTTTCCGCATTATGTGACTTATAAACTTCAACTGTCTCTTTCTGATGTTTAGTACCAGTGTCCTTTTTGTTTCTATTTTCTCTAAAACTTCGTCATTACTCGCATGTTCAGTCCATGGTATTCTCAGTATCCTTCTGTAGAACTACATTTCTGTTGTGAGAGGATTATCCAGTATTCACCGCCATCTAGGAGAATTTACATTACGTGACAGTTCTGTACTCTTTTCTTTGTATCTAACAAAACTTTCCTTTTCTTAATACTTTGCTTAGCTTTTGGAACGCATCTTTTGCTAACCCAATGCGCCTACGGATTTCAGTGTCACACTTTATCTCCTCTGTTAAAACCCTTCCCAGAAATAACGACAGCTCTGGAGTCAATGTTCCTGCAAACGTCCCTAGCCACTCATAAACTATATGTGACGTCGCATAGCTCCTGCTGTTCAGGCGAAGGAAGGAACTGCCTATTATTAGTTGTCTCAAACTTTTTTATAGAATGCATGTTTGTCAACAAGAGAAAAAGCTTAAGTTACGAGCCTCAAATCGGAGACGTCAAACAAGTACAGAAACTGAAATATCTGAGATGTGTTTTAACAGAGAATAGAAAATGCGACACCGAAATCCAAACACGCATTGGGATAGCGAAAGAGGCCTTCGAAAAGCTAAGTAAAGTATGATGAAACAGGAAAACTTCGCTAGAAACAAAGAAAAGAGTACTGATTTGTTATATAATAAGATACCTTCCAAAGAATAAGCAAAGTATTAAGAAGCAAGAAAATTTCGTTAGAAAAAAAAGACCTGTTATGTAATAAAATGATTTTTAAAGACTAAGCAAAGTATCAAGAAACAAGAAAATTTCGTTAGAAAGAAAAATTGTTGAGCTGCTATATAGTATTAGTTCTCCTATATGTCAGTGAAGAAAAAAATATGATTCTACAGAAGGATACTGAGAATATCATAGACAGAACGCGTAAGCAACCAAAGAGTTTTAAAGAAAATGGAAATAAAAAGGAAACATACTCAATATCAAAAAGAAACAGCTGAAATTTCAGGCCCACATAATGAGAAAAGAGGACTTCAAGAATTTGGCACTCACGGGACATAGGTAGAAGGGACAAAGGAAGCAGTGGGACACCTACCTGATGAGCTTGATGAACGATGGGTGGGAGGAATCACAAAAAGACAAACGTTACAAGGGATAGGATGTCATGCAGAGCCATGATCGGGCACGTGCTGAAGTGCCACGCAAAATAAAAGAACTTTTTGACTCTTCATTTTAATTACGTATTTATCAGTGGTGCTGCTGATCCGGTGTTCAAATCAGGTCATAATTCCAAAAATTAATTTTTCAAGGCAAGCAGACTTTTCCCTCTTTGGCGTAAGATAATCTTGTCGATGTCTCATCGCCCTATTTTTCTTTATACCAGTCTAGGTTGAGTTTAGCAAATTTTAAAATCTTATGAAGTAGTGGTGTATTATCCATTGGTCGGTGTTCAACTCGAGGTAAAAAGATGAGGTTTTTAATGATGATTTTTAAGATAACACGCTCTAATTTTGAAATGTTGGCGTAACGCAATCATCCTTCTCTATTTTACTAATTCCATCTATTTCGCCTTATTCTTACACACTTCGATTTGTTCCCGTTATCCAGGCATATTTCTTCGTCGAGTCCCATAATTTAATGGCCATGTGCCACATTGTATAAATGCGAGAATGTGGATCAATATATCTATACTCAGCTTAGTAAACGTGAATAAGTTGAAAATGGAAGTGCCAGAAAAGATTTAAAGAGAAATGGTAAGAGGCGGTTCTGCGTTCG